GGCTCTAGCAGGCTGTTATCCAGCCATTAGATCAGATTGATCTTCATTCCCATTTGCTCGACGTCTACCCTGAAAGCTCATTTGTCAAGGCGAGGCGGCGGGCTTCTCTCACATCTATACTACCACCCACCACCACATATCGGTGGGAGGATGTACTGGAATATACAGTGTGACATGACAAGATAGGGGGACAGCGAGAAGGAGGGAGCATGGGGGGGTGGTGGCAGTCATTTAACTTGGCTCTGAGAAATAAGCCACGCATCGCCTTTATGCAGCGCTGTGCTCTCCAATTTATTGGCTGTTGTTTCAAAGTTGGAGATGCAGTGTCCTCATCTCTTCCCTTTTTCCTCATGACCTTCTCTCTTCCCTCTCCTCCTTCGTTGTGCCTTATTTCTTGGTCATATGATGCATTTCCAGGAATGAGCTTATGATCAACAAAACAAAACTAAAATGTTATAGGAATCAGGCTGTATTACATTCTGTGCTACAGAAGGTCTTTCATTGGCAGAGATGTTGATTTTGTGGTGTGCACAGACTTTACTGTGTTGCCACTGAGACTTTAGATGAGATTTTTTTTTTTTTTTTAAGGTCGTGTTCTGGCATTAAGTAGGAAAGCACCATTTTTTTCACCACAGATTGGTGCAACAGCAGATATAAGGTTTTAGAGCATACTGAGTTCCACTTACTGTGTTATGACAGCTAGAGATGGTTTAAATAGGAGAACTTTTCAGCGGGAGTCAATTTGTGTGTTGGTTTAAGCATTGTTGAAACTGTCTAAAGTTGGGGACATTCTGGCCTGAAGTTATAGAAAAATAAGTTATTCTCACACTTTTTCCTCAGTCATTTGTTCTGCAGTTTGTTTATATGTGTAACTGCAGCAATTCCTCTTTGGCGAATTGCCTGTTGTGGAGCTGAATGCAGTAAATTTTCATGACAAATAAATCTAGATAATCGAGGCCCCAAACAGTTACTGCAAACTGTAGGCTTTTCTCGCTGGATGTTTCTTTCTGGTGCTAGACAGTAATCCTGGTCCTGATTGACTGACCACCGAATCCTGCCATGAGCGGCAAGAGAGGGATAGAGTGAAGACGTTTTTGGATGGAGGGATGTAACGACTCAATCAGCCAATTGATTCACTGGCTATGCTGATATTGTACTGTGACTCTGCTAATTTCCTATTCCTTACTGTGGTTCGCCCATGATTGAGCGCCGACTTCTTACCTTGTTGTTTTGCGTCCAGTGCTGGAAATTGAAAACATGCTCTGTCATTTGGAATAACAACAGCGGGCCAAGGGAAACTGAAAGGCTCCAATCACAGGCAGGCAGCCTCTTAATTAGCGCTGCTTGACTAATCCAACAGCTTGTAAATAAAGATGAATGCTAGCAGGAATTTAAAAGACTGCCAATGGGTTTACAAGCAGGAGGAAAGCACTGAGAATGAAGGGCAGGCAAAGAAAGTGAAGCAAAAGACGTCTCTCTCTTCCTGAGAGCCTTCCACCTCCTCTAAACGTGAGGCAATAAGATGGACTTGTAATGAGGGCCATCTGTCTGAATCATTTATCCCGCCTTTCTTTCTTTCTTTCAGTCTTCCTAATGTGATGGAAGGGTGACTCTCCATGTCTACACAGCATATGACTCTATTATCCACACTTTCTGAGCCTCAGCCCTGTTTTACCATGCCCTGATTCATCACCGCTGTTTCCTACATTCTCTGCTATTGTCAGAGGTCTGAAATGGCCTTGGAGGCTACACACTTTATCTTCTATCCACACAACATCCTTCTCACCACCTCTTAGCTGTACAAATTACTCCCAAATAAACAATGTCCCTAATTTATTTGGTATAATCTCTTGCTCATTCTGCCTTCTCCTGTGCGGTGACAGGAGAGGAAAGGCAGTCTCAACTCCAAGCCCTCCATCCAATTATGTCTGTAATTACTTGTCATAGCTGCTTTATTTCTATTTAGCTGCCTTATTCCAGTCCTTTGGAGAATTGGTTTGGGGAAAACATGATGTACAATGTATTATAAATGGTAACTTGACCAAAGGGAAGGCAAATGAGGTCTCTGAGATGGATGCAGACAGTTTAGGTATCGCAGGGAAGTGATACAGATGCAAGTTTGGCCACTTGGTGGTGCTGTTGCACTGTGGTTAAGTTACAGCTAGACTAGGGTCATACTCACCTGCAATAGCAGTAAGAATTGCACTGAATTCTTTATAAACACCCTTTCATGTCTGCTGTCCTGGCTCCTATGCACAGAGAATGAGGTTCTCTCTGTATATTGAAAATAGAAGGATTTATATTGGCCTGCAGCAAAAGTGATCCAGTGAAGGTCAAAACAAAACGTAAGAAATGGAGCAAATAATAATTTGAGATACAGAGTAAGTAACTTTGCATGTTCAGGTTCACACATTATAGATGTGAGGTCTTCTTCAGGTCTGCCTGTGATTTCATTTGACTTCCAGCACTGCTGACTTGTCCTTTCTCCTTTGTGCTCCACATATATTCATAGTTTTGCTCATAAGTTGTCATTGGTGTCTGGAAGAGAAGATGACAGAGAGGACGAGTGGCTGACAGAAGGGAGCCCTTGAACAGCTGTCGGAGAAGACTTATCCTCCAGGGCACATCTCCTCTAAAACAACTCCTGGCCCCAAGTCCTAAATCAGCATTGATAGCTGAGTAGAGAAGGAGCAAGATAGCAAAGTGTATTTCATCTTTATTGCAGGGCCTCCATCACTCTTTCTGCTCCTGCCCCCCGCTTCACATTGCTGTGGCGAGGGTGGCACCGGCAGACTGGCATCTGTATGACCGAGGGGAGTCACAGCAGGGGTGCGGCTCACCTATCAGTCCTTAAGATTGCTTACCATTAACTGGTATTTCCGCTCCGATGCAGAATAAATGGGAAATGAAGTTGCCAGGTGGGCAGCTGCACCTGCCTACCTTTAGGGCAACAGGAGCTGTGAAGCAGAAATATTCATGTCTGTCCCGACTAGCTGTTGGCAGTCCATATTTTTTTTGACACATGGTCGATGGGCTGGAACCTGTAGCAGGGAGTGTGGTTACTGAGGTGTGCACATGTGTTTGGATCTACAGTAACAGTGTGTTTGATGGTAGAGCATGTTGTTTGGAAATAGATACACAGTCAGCCTGATGACCCTTTTTTTTACCTGTTGCTTAGGTGTCATGTTCTGTGTGTATTGGTTTGTTAATTGGGTCAGTTGCTCACTAACTAAAATGTGCATTTGCCTACCAGATCATATACAGGCTTGTGCCATGTACAACAAAAGTGCGCCTGAGGGAGTGGTGTGTTTACGTCGGCTCACATACCAACCTAAAATTAAGTGTACAGTAATGTGTATATCAAAAGCTCTTTAGAGGGAAATACACTATTATAGATGGAGATCATACTGTAGATGTAGTGTGTTTGTTTGAGTCATGCTGTTTCTTTCCTGTAGGTGGCGTGTCTGATTCGGGTACCCACAGAGGTGGTCAAACAAAGGACCCAGGCTTCTCCCTTGTCCACCACCTACCGCATACTGCTGGCTACACTCAGAGAAGAGGTATGCCACAGTCAAACACACTTTCTGAAAGGAGAATTCGGGTTTGGTTTAGTCTGGCAGGCATTTGTATTGGTCATATGAACACTATGCTGACCAAGCTATTTGCTAAGACCAGGGAACCTGGCGAATCAGTTGCGCCAAAAAAACATAAGCCCAGGCGCATAATACTGAAGCCTGCGATATAATCAAAAAGACTAGATATACTAAATGACACACAGCCTGAAAGCCAAAGTATTTATCCCGTTCTGAAAGGTCGCGCTCAGAGGCAGGGACAGTTTAAACTAAGATAATGGCATGTGCTTTTGGACAGTCTTTCCTGTAAACACATAACTATGGTAGATTCAGGGGAGGGGGTTTCAGATGCTGCTCATCCAGCAAGTGCTTTGGTTGGAGCATGTCAATGACAACAAGCATCGTATGCAATAGAAATGAAACCCCAAATTACAACAAGTTGTAATTACCAGAATTATATTGTTGTCTGGTCGTTAGTTGTGAAATACTGAGCTTATCAACTTTTAAAATATTTTCTAATCCTATGTGTGCTATTTATTAAATATTAATGTTTTCTTTAACCAAAACTTTTCTTTGTGTGAATCAAATATAGTCCGATTATATTGAATCAAGCATGTGTGATAAAAGTAGGTTTCATTTTGGTTTTTCTTTTGGAACAGGGTGTTCGAGGATTGTACAGAGGATTTGGGAGCACAGTTCTTCGAGAGGTAGGATCAGTTCAGACGTTCTGGTGCACCCAACTCACTTCTTTGGATCTGCCATTCAGTAAAGATCACAAACCACAGCCAATAATATGGACCCGCTTGAAAACAGATCACACACTTGTTATGTCTGTCTTTGGTAAAGTGTAGTTTGAAGCAGTTGTGAAGCACATCTTACAGATTCTGTTCAAATCAATTTCCAGAGTTTGTACTGAAGACAATTACTTGGCTCCTTGAAGGCTGTGTAGTGAATTCTTTTTGATAGGTTGGATGAATATTGAAGCTTTCCACTCTTCTGACTGAAGACATTTTAATTTGTCTTTGGCACTCAATTACTTGTCCAAGACGCTCTCCGTCTTATTTGGAAGTACATCTTATTAATTAATGCAATTAGTCGTGTTATAAAGGCAAAACAAAACAAGGATAAATGAGCGGTGGGCTCCGCTCCCTGGATGACTGCTCACCTTTCTGTAATGAGAATGCTGCTCTAGTTCTTTGATTCATGATCTTCTGTTTAATTGCACCTGCAGTGAATAATAACACAAAGCACAATTGTAGTCAAAGAGGTGTAGCTCTCTTTCTTTTAGTTCCCCTCCACCTGCTAAGTTTGTAGAGAACTGGAAAGGAAAATGAGTAGGACAGAGGAAGCGGGAGAAAGAAGTATATGAAGGTGACACTTGTCTTTCTGTCCTGTTTTTTGAGGGGTGGGTGAGGGCGTAATCTAGTCCCCTCTGCTGTGCTAGCCTGTACTTATTTTCTGCCTCACTAAACTGATGTTATTCACGCAAATTCCATCTGGACAGCCAGGGAAAAAAAGGACAACAAGACACTGTGATTTCTCCGAGGGGTTCTGAATAAATGAATACATTTGGAGGCTGCCGCATGGCCTGTGTGCATACTAACACTGGCAGATGAAACGCAACGGTGGCGGCGGGGATTTGGGGTGTGGGAACGGCAAAGGATGTTCCACAGTGATTGGCTTTGACGCGTGTCAGGAAGGTAATTCATTTTCTCTCAGCCTCCTTCGCTATCTGCCTATCTCCCTTTTTTGGCCAAGCGACCCTGTCAAGATAAGTTTGTTTATGTGCTATGGCGTTGCGCCTCCCTCCCCTCGCCGACCCACTAATTGGGGTCCTCTCTGTGCGATATATTCATTATGCAGCCTTCAGAAGGCGTTTCTGATGGGCATGATGTTATATTAGTGTAGGGTGTGTGAAGATCTATAAGAGAGGGGAGGCCGGACTGGATTTGGAAGGTGGCATGAAAGACTGATTTGGCGATCTAGGTCGGACCGAAGCACCAACCCACGTTCATATTATCCCACCTACCTACACAGGTTTTAAACAGTTATGTTGAACACAGCCTAAAAGGGCCCTAACCTTTATTGTCGATAATTGGCATTAAATTATTTTTAGTTTTGCACCACATGAATCTTTCCTGTAGTCCAACCTTTCCTTAAAAGAATCTGACACCTTGTCTGCTGAGTCTGCACTTCTTGGGTTCCGGCTGAACAGAGCATGAAATCAGTGAGATTCAGACTGTGGTAACCGAGGTTGTGCTAAAAAAAAACGAGGGCATATCAGGAAGAGTTTTTCAGGACATTTAGAAGTGTGCTTGTTGCATGATATACAGTACACTGTTCATAATTTGTATTCATTGTATGAGTAAGTACACAGGGTAGTTTTTCTGATCGATGATTATTTGAATTATATTTCATCATCTAGTGATGTATGTCACTGTCAGGATCCCCAGTTTCAAGCTCTACCAACACACCCATAGCTTCATTTTGATGATTGTACCACTTTTCACCACTAGATGGCATGCTAAGATTAGCACTGTTGTAGATGTTGGTGCTTGACTTTCTCCTCTCTCTCTCTCTCTCTCTCTCTCTCCTCCTATATCACACCAATCCAGTTCTGACATTTATGAGCAGCAGACACCGCACTGAAAATGATTGCTTTTTTTTATGGCAAGCTCTGTATTTTTCTGATCTAAAATGCTGTGTGCTGATCTTGCATTTGATCTAAACTGCACCAATTTGAGTTTGAGTAATGAGCCTGAGATGGGTTATTAGATGGTAATTTAGTAATGTGCTGGAATGAGGGCTATGGAGGAAAAGGTGTAAGTGAAGCTGATAGCATCTGACATAGTCGACTGAGGCACCTGGAATATCATCTGATTGACCATAGGATACAGTCATGTAGCTCTCATAGTCGTGCTCTTTCACATACTCTGCCTTGAAGCCACGTTATCTGAATCCCTTTATTCACATATTTAAGTGAAGAAGCATGCAGACCAGGAAGGTAGAATCACCAAGGTCAAATTACATCACTCCTCTGTCTGGGACTTGTGCATTTGTGTGAAATGATTTGAAGGTTTTTACTGATCATTGCCACCACAAGCCTTCAGAAAGACTTCAGCTGTTCAGAAGATATTTTGTCTAACATAATTCCAACTGGCCTTAATGTGCATATGTTTCACACAGTATTGATGCTCATCAAACAGGCGATGCAACAAACAATTTTCGTAATCTAATAATGTGATGTTTTCTTGAGTGATCAATTAATCAATGCAAATAAAGGTTACTTTTTATTACTTTATCATATATTTTCTTTAATCACTAATTTGGTTTATAAAACACCAGAAAATAATGAAAAATGGAAAGCAGCTGACCTTCATATTTGAGAATCTGAAGCAATCAAATATTTGGCATTTTGGTTTTATAAAAGTATCTGCTGAGAAAAGGTTACAAAAGCTTGCAGTGTTTGGAGTGAAAGTCGGTGGGAAAGCATGTTATGGAGTGTTGAATCGAAGTTTGAAATTTTTGGGTCCAGTCGCTGACAGTATGTGTGAGGAAATGTTTGGGAGAGGTGGAAGAAAGAGTGCTCACAGTCTTCAGTGAAACATGATAGAGAGTCTGTTATGGTTTTAAGATTTCAAGACAGTCTCCCAAAAGAATTCAAGCTGTGTCAAGTGCAAAAGGAGGTCACACTAAATACTGACTTTGGACTGTAGAAGACATTTTGTTCTCGTTTTGTGTTGACATATTTCCTATATTTTCTAGTTATATCGTAATAAAGAGACAGAAATAAATATAAATTCTTATTACAACCTTGCTAAAACAGCAGGACTAATGGAGGCCTAAGACTTTTGCACAGTACCGTATGTACTCCTTATCCTTTCAGCAGCCTTTGGCTCCTTGGGGCCCTTGTCTAAGCTCCACTATAGTGTTTTGATTTCCCTTGTTAACTAGGGGTGCGACAATACACTTAGCTCATGAGATAAGATGATACACGATACTGGGTTCATGAGAATGAGGCCATTTTGAAGAAATCTAAAATGACAAAATATGAAAAAATAGTTTTTGTTTGAAAGTCACAAAATGTAAAACAATGCAGGTGCATTTTGAGATGTTTTCACTAATCATCTTGTAATGAATGTCACTTCACTTCTACTTTCTGAGTGTGTATGTATGTATGTATATATTTATGTGTGTGTGTGAGATTTACAATGTTGTGTAAAAAAAACAAATTGTGTTAAAACAAACAGAGGAGAAGCTGGTAACAGATGGTCCGTTGTCATGTGCGGTGTGTGTGTGAAATAAGATTTTGCCTATTTTAAACCAATATGTCGTGGTCAGTGCTGATATTGTAGTGATCCACAGCAAATAAATCAATGTATGGGAAACACTGAGCTGTGTGTGACCTTCTGAACTCCTTTCCACAAACTGAACATAACAAAAAGTGCGGGGACATCTTCTGTGCTAATTTCACCCTCACACTCAGTCATGTTGGCTGCTGCTCTGGCTCTGTTATGAACCGATATTGTGAGACAGCTTTTCACCCCGACGATAACTATCATCCCGAGATATCGTCACACCTACTGTTAACTCTCCTGCTGGACCTCAGTCGCACTGGATTCAGAGTTTTAAAGGTGAAACTGTACGAGAGTCTGCATATTGTGTGTATACCTTGTGCAATCATAGCCCTGCTCTGACAGCTCAGTTGTGTGTACATGGAGCTGTGTTGGTCAGAGTCCTCACAGAGCAGTGAGGGGCTTCAGCCTTTTCTGCTGGGATGCAACAGGCAGGCAGCAGAGCAGAGCTGCCCCCCTCTTTGGAAAGTAGCCACACAGGTTGAGAAGGGAGAGGTGAGGGGAATTGGTCTCATATCCTGTCTCCGTGTGCACTGATCTGCAGAGGCTCATGTTTATACACCCTTATATGACTTGGATGTAGCTGAGACAGAGCAGAAAAAGGGAAGAGAGACAGGACAGGGGAAGCAAAAGATATTTACTTTCTATTACATATCTAAAGGCAGGATTTGTGGGGGACATATGTGAAGGAATGGAGGCTTCCTCCTGTTTTTGTTTTTAGAGTTGGACCTCATCAGAGCAGCTGCCGTTAGTCTCTGAGAGCCACTCAGCAAGCCAAGTCTTCTAAATGACTTCAACACCTTAAAACAAGCTTAACAAGATTAATCGAGATGGAAAAGATTGCACTGGAAAATGGAGAAACTAAAACAGGGAAAATATACGATTGGTTGAAAAGGAAATATAATCCCTGCCAGTGAGTTAACTGTGTTCATATTGTGCCTTTTCTTGTTTTATTTAGGCCTATTTATATGAGCCAGTTTCTAATTAGTAGCCGCCTGCGATTACACAGCCATAGATTAAGATTTTGCCTCCACAAGCCAGTAGAATAACCATCTGTGAAATAGATTTTGACTCAATTAGTTTCAAAGATGGAAGTGGGTGTTTTCAAGAATGTAAGCAGCTGGTGCACTCTTATCTGTCTACACTGTGAACAATGAGGACCCAGAAAACCTGTTGACCTCTGTAGATATAACCCTTGACATGACTTAACCTGGAGGGGTGTGTGTGTGTGTGTTGACTGTTTATATGATGGAGAAACAAGATGGTGTTCTGAAGCTATTGTCTGGAATAGGACATAGTTATTCTACATCTGTCACTGAATTAGCAGAGTGCACAAACACACAGTACACACA